TATTTAACTTGAATTTTGCTACAATAGGCTCTGTTCTTAACTATGGGTCATCTGTAATCCAGGTGTGCTTAACCTGGGGACTCCTTCTACCTCTCTCCACTTGTTTTGGCTCATCTAGTAAAATCTGGCAGAGTTGGCTCATGCCAGGTCCCATCAGGAAAGCAACACCAACTTGTGGGATCATGGAGAGCTTCTCCCCCACCCTCCCATTTTGCTTTTCTCTGTCTTTAACACTTTAGTCCCAATTAGCTCTCTGTAGCTACAATCACGCAGTCTGGCTCATATTACTTTTACCTTCTTATTTTGTAAAATCCACCAATTATCTACTTTTCTTAATAATAAACAATCAGCATTCCCACGAAGTTCTGGTCTGTTTGTCTAGTTAATTTTACTATTTTCAAAGGCATTTTTGTCAAAGAAAAAAAAAAGTTGTATTTTATTTTCTAAAAATTACTGTCCCCTTTATCCCTTTAAAACTTTCTTAAATCATAATCATGTTAAGCTTTTGCTTTTAAGTCAAAATCCTTTAAGATAGTATTTTGTTTCCTCTTAATCCCCAAAAGAACGCAACTCACCGAGTGTCTTTATTCTTTCCTGCCAGCCAGAAGATCTCTCTTAAGTTGTAAATTAATTATATCTGAAAGTGTTTAAGGAAGTGAGGCTTTCGCAGGTCAAATGTCCATAAAGGCTGCACAGTGGTTTTGAACGCAATAGTAATCTCTCAACTCCCAAGCTGCTCAACCCACGATTGACTGCAAGAAACTCAATTCCTGCAGTCTCCTTCTTCTGAGAAGGAGCTATCCAGAGCTTAAGTGGGCAATCTTTCCTTCTCCAGAGAGAATTTTGTCAGCCAGAACTTGCACCTGGCTGCCGATCTTTGCCATGGTGCTGTCCCCACTTGTGGAGACGCTTGCAGGGACGTCTAACCCACCATAGGTCCTCACCCAGAAGTCCAATAGCCTCCTATTTGCTGTGAAATCCCTGGAAATGTAAAGCCTGTGTTTGCTAAATAAATGTCTAACTATATCAGACAGCTACAGGAATCCATAGCAATTCCACTAGTATAACAGAGTTGCAGTGTAAATTGTAAAAATGTATGAGGTTTTAAATCTTACCTCTAAAACCATAAAGATCTTCTTTGGTGTCTCAATCACATGGTACAGACGGCAGATATTCTGGTGGCTTAAACTCTTCATTGCTTCAATTTCAGTTTTTATACGAGGTAAGTCATCCTAAAAGATGAAAGATTCATGCCATCTCCAGGTCATTTTATGTCAAAATAAATAAGCTAAAAATTTGTTTCCTTTCTTCTTCCTTCCCTATTTCTTTGGCCTGTTGTATCACAATATTTGTGTGCACAGGAACTGTTTTGTTTTATAATCTCTGCATAGCTTTAGGTCTGTTTTAACTGCTTTTTGTTCTAATGCAGGGTTCTTCAACCTTGGCCACTTGAAGATGGGTGGACTTCAACTCCCAGAATTCCCCAACCAGCATGGATGGCTGGGGAATTCTGAGAGTTGAAGTCCACCCATCTTCAAGTGGCCAAGGTTGAGGAACACTGTTCTAATGAACACACATTTTCTCTGCAGCAAAAATACTTACCCTTAGATGGTGATCTTTGTCCCATCTCCCTTTTCTGTCTAACCCAGTGTTTTCAAACTTTGCAACTTTAAGATATGTAGACCTCAACTCCCAGAACTCCGCAGCTAGCATTCTGAGATTTGAAGTCCACACATCTTAAAGTTGCCAGGTTTGAAAAACAATTCTCTAACCCAACACGGAGGTAAAAGTTAAGAAAAGGAGAAAGGAGATTCTTTGAGTAACTTGCACGCCATTCTTTAGGTGGTACATGAGGAAAACAATTATTTTCTCATGGTTTCAGGGAAAAAAAACCCTTTATAACATGAGAAACATGGTCCATCTATGGCATTTGATCAATCCTCATTCTCCAACTCAGAATAAATGAATACATCTAGCAATATGCTGGCCTGAGGGACAAAAAGGTCTAAAGCAAGAATGAGGATTGGAGTAATGGCTGTCAAGATAAGCATTTCTTGTTTCTTACAATTACTTTCAAGAGCACATCCAAATTGCCAAGACTACCATGCTATTAGGCCACAGCTGAGTTTTAAAAAAGAAGAACATTAAAAAAGAAGCAAGAACCTGAAATAAGAGCAATCCAGCAAAATGAAAGCAGTTGAGCAGAATCAATCCAATACTTATGGCTGGAATAGCAACCCTCCAGTCCCTGGGCCTAATTTAGCTTGTTGGGCCAGCTCATTTTCCTCAAATTCCATGACCTCCAACAACATATTCTACATCCCACCGGGAGAAGCTGTGTTCCCCAAAGGAGCTAAGTATTCTGAAATACTTCGTTTGATGGCACTAAAATGTTTGTCCCATTAGTGCTTCCAAAGAGAGTAGTTTCTAAAGGCGGAGCTTTATTTTGGGAGATGGGGGACACCACTTCAAGGTTTCCCATGGAATTGGAGTAAGTGCCCTGGCCTATTTCATCTTTCAGAGAAAAGGACTCTTTAACACAGAAAGAAGTGGCAATGATGAAAGAGAACTTCAGGGAAAGAATTCCTTGGTCTGAAACTCATTATGATGTCTGGTCCATCAAGTCTTCAGAGCTGGACAGTTTGACCTTTGGATTACAGTACTTTGCCTTTTGTATCCAACATACAATCCTGCCATTAACAGGCATCCAACTAGCATTATTGTCTAAATATCATTAACTGAATGCCAAATGTTAGGTCTCAGTTACTGCAAAATGTGGCCCAGGTGGTTTCAGTATATTCCAAATTCCTTAAAGTTCCAAATCATTTAAGGCCAGAAAACACCTTACAGTTTCCAATTAATGAGCTGTACAATTAGAAACCGTATTTGAACATATAAAACTAATCTTCCCTTGCTTAGAAACTCACTTACCCCCAGAGTCAGCTTGTCCATTATTTTTATTGCAACCTGTTCACCAGTAAGTAAGTGACGAGCCAGTTTAACTTTTGCAAAGCCACCTACAGTAAGGAAAAGAAAAGCCCACCATGATTCCTAATTAGCATTTATATTCAATTCTGCCTTGAATACAGTGATTATTAGCTAGAATTATTGGTCATGTCAAAACTCCTCCTTTCCCAGGACAGCTTGCGATTACCTATCAAAGGAGCCATTACTTAGAGCAGCTGTTCTGCTATAGGTGTAGTAGATCATCTATTTCATAATAATGTCTCACCTTTAAGTCTGCATATTACCCCTGTAGAAAAGCAGATCTCCCTCTGATATGCTTAGGATTCTATTCCTGTAACCTCTGTGATGCTATTGCTGCTCCTAGAAATGCCCTCACAAAAGTCAACTTTTTGAGAAAGGCCAAGGCATGCTGCAATTTGGAATGTAAGAGTAAATGGTCAACAGAAAAATAGAGATGCTGTGTATCTGTGAAACTAAAAAAAAAAAGGAGAGAATGTAATGGATCTGAAGAAAGACAGCCTGAACATGTGGGATGGAGTTGTGAGTGCAGGAAAATGAAAGTGAAGTTTTATTTATGAATGAACAGACTGAACTGTATATCAATAAAGTATGAATTGCTGTCATCTAGGTGTTGTGGCTGCACGTGAAAGTAGGAATCCTTAGGTTGGTGATAGTTGTACATTATGCTGTAGCGAACAGTGATAAGGAAAGCACCAGAGGTCCCAGGCCCAGCCCAAGAACGGTGAAATAGTCCAGTTGAGTTAAGTTCCTTTATCTGCTTACCCCATATATAGAGAATCTTGCCAGACTAAATCTATACTACTGCAACAAGAGGGTATACCTGGGAGATTCTAGGGAGTGGCTATCCTGAACCGCTCTCACTTCCCAGGCTCCCCCTACGGACTGTGTTGTCTTTTGTCTCCTTGTCCTTCCTGGAATGCACCCCCTCCTTCCTGACAGCCTTGCTCTCTGTTGCTATCCACAAGAGGTGTGTTTGGGGGAAATTGTGCAACATTCTTAGTGAATGCCTCACAGGAGAAAAAATGATCCTGCTTGGTGACATGAATACACGGATGGTGATTATGAGATGAGCGCCGAAAAAAATGATTGTGCTATCAGAGTACACAAATATGAATGAGAATGGTCATTCGTAAGTGTTTCTTTAGGAAAAGGTCTGTTTTAAATGCACGATTTACGCATAAATCTATTCATAGAAACAAAGAGCAAAGGAAGGAATATAAATCTAAAAGCACGATTGTTGTTGATGAAAGGCAGAGAATTACTAAAGGATACAAGGGTTATCAGATATGGGACAGACCACTTTGGGTGGGGTCAGGAGTGAATTTTCAGAAAAAAATAGACATGGGAAACTAAGAATTGAAAGAAATGGGAGTGAAAGCGGAACGTCTGCAGGAAGAAAAAAAGTATGAATCTTATATGAAATCATATTAGAAGATAGATTCGTTTCCCAAAATCATGAATGGAAAGTTGACAACAAGGAAGGAGAATGCAGAAACTGGTTGGAACAATTTAAAAAAGAATTATGCTGTGGACTGTCATTGAAGTCTGTGAAGTTACAGCAATAGGAAATCTAGAAAAATGTATTTTATAGAACGATGACATGAAATAAGCTATGGAAAAAATGCATGTAAGAGAATTCTTGCTGCACAAAAACAAGATGGAAGAAATATATTGCATAATGTAGCAAAAGAGCTGAGCCTGAAAAGTAGATGGCTGGAGGTCCCAAACCACCTCTTCCAGAAATTGTCTGGATCTTTACAGGTAGTCCTTGCTTACCAACCACTCCTTCAGTGACCATTCGAAGTTACACCAGTGCTGAAAAAATAACTTTACGACCAATTTATGGCCATTTACGACCTTAGCAGCATCCCTCAGTTGTGTGATCACCATTACAGTCAGTACGCATTATCCTGTGCCTGACCTGTGTTTTTTTCTTTTTCCTGCCTTGCAGAGCAGAGAGATTGGAGAGGAAGGGATAAAAGACAGTAAGCTGTTTGCTCTTCTACACATGGAAAGCAATGTGATCACACCAGCAGCAGGAAAGGGTCAGGCAAAGGAGAGATTGCCTACACTTACTTCTCGCCCCCTTGCAAAGTGGAGAGATTGGAGAGGAAGAGATTTCAAGAGAGTACTGTAAGCTGTTTGGTTCCCAGCCCTAGGCTGTCAGTGCACTCACATTGCTTTCAATGTGTAGAAAAGCAAACAGCTTTTTCTCTTGAAATCTCTTTCTCTCCAATCTCTCCGCTCTTGGGGGGGGGGAGGGAGAAAAAAAAGCTAGTGATTTCTGTAGGCAATCTCTCCTTTGCCTGATCCTTCCCCCCACAGAGCAGAGAGATTGGAGAGGGATTTCAAGTGAGTAAGCTGTTTGCTCTTCTGCACATGGAAAGCAATCCAATCGTGCCAGCAGCAGTAAAGGATCAGGCAAAGGAGAGATTGTCTACAGAAATCGCTGTATGGAAAGCAGTCGCAGTCACATGATTTCCCACTTACTGACCACTTCGCTTAGCAGTAGAGTTGCTGATCCCAATTAAGGTCATCAAGCAAGGACTACCTGCATAATGCTGCCTACTGCTTTGGACTGGTGGTTTGGTCCTTTCCACTGCCACAAGCCATCCTCCAGGGGAACCTCACCTGATCTCCTCCCTCAAGCACTGGTGTGTAAAGGGAAAATAAGGCTTGTACTACCTGTGCCGCCTTTCTGACAATAAAAAGGTAAAAAAGCAAAACATGAAATAATTTTGATAGTGCCACTGATGCACGTGACTAGAGGAATCAGCCCTTCTTCCCCTCTTCTCCAATCACACAAAAATAAGTAAAATCAAACTTACTTTTTTTTTTAATGGAGAAATATTAAGTGCAAATAATTCAATATGGAAATATAGACCTGCTTAAGTTATGGAAGAACAGTAGCTTAATTAAAAAAGAAATCTAATACTCTGAATAGACCTTAAGATGTACTGTATTGTAATACTCTGAATAGACCTTAAGTAATACCAATTTACTGCAGATAATGTTTCTCCATCCCAAAATCCCAGTTAAAAGGTAAGAGATTCCTTATTATTATTATAATTACAGCAAATTGATGTGAAAGAGAAAACAAAAATTAAATACTGTGGCACATATGTGAAGTATGAGTCAAGGCTGACATTAAAACCCAGTTTCCTAATTTATGCAGAGAATTAAAGAATCTTAGTCTTAGCACAAATGCAAAAATAGAAATCAAAACCCTAACATAAACACCTCATTAGGCTTGTAACCTATCTCTGCAGAAATAATAGACCCTTTAAATAGATGTTCCCTCTGCTTCTCAGCTTTCCTAGTCTTCTCTAAAGTCTCCTTGAGATTCCTGCTCTGTATTCTAGGATGTTTGGGAAAATCTTGCACTCCACTTGTTTCTAGCCTCTCTCCAGCAATTTCTGCCTTGTTTTAAAGGGAATAAAACATTTTTCTATCCCCATGAAAGGGAGGGCTGGGGGAATCAGTCTCTGTACCTAAATGACAAACACAATTTCTCCCTTGTAATGAGGTTGATTTTAAGTGTACAATCTGTCTGAAAGGATATATATTTGGAATGTACGAGTTCTACCAGCTGGCAGGGGAATGACATACATAACAAATCAGTGCATAGAAAAATATATTGCAAGGACTAGCTGAAATGAGCAAGGAATAGTTAATCTTTTTAAAAGGCAGAGAAAATGCAGGAACATTTTGATGGAAATAAAAAAATATGTTTAGGGTGAAGCGAGCTAAAAAAGGAGTCTCCAGCATACTGAAAGGAATTAAAATAGAAGTGATGATTTGGGATGAACTTGAAGTGAGGGAATTAGGGGATGGCTGTGAGTTGGAATTGAAACAATTGTTACAAATGTCAGTATCCATGAAGAAATCGATGTATGAGAATGTTGAAAAATGGTAAGACTGTAGATCTAGGTAGTGTTTACTGGAGAAATATTAAAATATGGATGTGGTTTTCTTAGGCATAATTACCAGGTTGCTTTGTTCAGTGGAACAAAGTCGGACCAGCTTATAAGCTAATATACCTAGAATCTGCAATGAATCTGAAAATAAAGCTATAACATTGTAATAATCACCTGAAGTGTTTTTATTGTATGGATACTGGAGACATTGGAGAACTCATCAAAAAGTAGAATAGTAAATTAGCTAAGTTTTAATAGCTCTACTCTGAAGTTCATACACGGGAGTGAGGTCTACATATTTCCTATATCTATTTAAAAGATTAAGAAGCATACCTGTTCCAACAGTTTCATGAATTTCATAGTATTTGAGAAGTTCTTCATAGTCATCTACAGCCATATTGAAATAGAAAAGTGTCTTCTGCAAGCACATGACAGAACACAAAATGATCATGAGCTGAATTAACAACAAAAAAAAAAACAATCACCAGGCAACTAACAAATATTTCAATTTTTTTCTATCTGTGAACGTAAGCGTAACACAAAGAATAAAGGAGTTTTATATGTTACAGACAATAGATAATAGATGTTCTGGTTCCTTTTTGATCATATACCATTTACCTTACTTGATTTAATTCAGACAGTCTAGTTTAGCACTTCAAATGAAGCTCTATTTTTGTCTGGTAAAGAAGATCCACCTGGACAAGAGCTGGAAAATATTCCAGGAACAAAGGGATTTTTGATTGTATTGATTAGCAAGAAATGAAGGAAAGTTATATTCATACTACCACTTATTAGTTTTGGAGAAACAACCCAAGAATAAAGTAATTCAGAACTTTTTTTTTTTTTGCCAGTAAATTCATATTCAGAATCCTTAGCATGAATTAAGTTTAGAGAATAGACAGTAGCAATTTACTCAGGAGGCCTTTCTACCTTTTGTCCAGTTCACCGACAGTCCACAACCCAGGAAAGTTTGTCAACATTATATGGTTTCTTCATACAAATTCTTCATGGAGAATTTGTATCGTTATATAGGCTTTGAAACACTTCAGTTACATTAAGCTACAGCCCAATGCACCCAGGTCAGTGAAATTCTAATGGTTCTCACACACACATAAAGCTGAGAGATGAAAATGGATAAAGTCACATCTAGTCCTGTAGTGTCACTGTAGTAAGCTACCATAGTTTGCTGATATCTAGTGGTCATCCAGAGTTTTACAGCCTACCGTATATCTGGTAGCCCTTGGTTTTAGCTTAATGTGTTCTGTGAATTCAGTAAGTATGTATTCAGTATATCACAGTTTAGTGTAAATGTGGATCCAGTCTCAATCTACAAAGCAGAGCTCTTGCTGTGTCTTATTCAGGAACCCCACAGAACACTGCAAGTATATTTAATTGTTGATACCCTATAAAGCTAGAGTAAAAGGATACCACCATCAACATAGTCAACAGCACATTTGTTCTCAGTATCCTACTGTAGTCCAGCAGTTACTGACATTCCCTCCTATATATGAACCTAGACAGCCTGCTTACTCCTCTATGGATGCTTTTAAAAATACTTTAAAACGGGATCATGTTTGGCTGAGAAAGACATATGGTATATACTGCTCTTAGATAAGTGAAGCTGTACTGTGTTTATTTTAAATTTGTTTACATTTTGCAGCATTTATAAATATCTCTTATATTACAACCTAAACTGTTTTAGGAAGGTTAGGGGTTGAAAAGGTAGCAAAGAAATATGTTAAACAAAAATAAATCTTTTCTGTAATTCTTATCCCGTGCAATATGTCTATGTATGCATACATACATGCGTGCACTAATAATGTGTGTGAGAGGAAGTATGAAGGCATACAGAGGAAACAGTCACTTCTTTTGGCCCTGCTTCCATATATACCAAGCCTACACATATAATATATAAGTATAAAAGCTGTTTATTTAACCTAGTCAAAGGGTTAGAGATCAGAGGGAGCAATAAAAGATCCCATTAGCCTTTATCCATACAACAGCTGTTTAACACCCAAACCCAACATCTTATTTTAGATAACACATGACCTTGAAAGACAGAAATTAAAGATTCATGTTATTAGATTCAGTCATTTTGGGATATATTACATTCTTCTCTTCTGGGATAAGGACGAAGCATGAAAAATAGCTGACATAATGTATGTCAACCCAATATGTTGAAAGTGCTACAGGAATAGACAACCACTCAATGGCAGGAAAAAGATATAGATAACTCTAACTTTTTGCAGTATGTAACCTAGTAGTAATCCAGATTTTGCAGCCCAGGTTTGCAGCTCTCATTTTACAACCCATACTTTATCTTAAGCAGCAGTCAAGAAAATGAGTCTTTCTAACTCACTTTTAGAATCCTGTAGAATACAGCTACAAAAATAAGACTAAAGTCAAAATAGAGATTTTTTTTGACAAAGACAGCAAAATAGATAACTTCTCCACTTTAAGCTGTTTCCTTTTCTTAGCATCCTTGTATAAATGTAAGTCTTACTTCTGAGGACCAGGCAAATCTTTTTCTGCAGTTTTTAAAATCATTTTTACTATAAACAGTATCCAATGTTTACATTTTGGTGTAGCACCTAGAAGCCAATTGCATTATGCAAAAGGTATGCCTTAATTCCAAGGGGCAGAGGAAAAAGCAAGAGATTTAAACACACACCACAGGAAATACTCAAGAGACATCTGTAACTTCATTAATTATCAGATAATTACAGCCACCCACAGTATAAAGGTGGAGGACGAGAATACATGAATACATTTCCTCAACTTTTGAACTACTATATAGGCACATTTTAACTAAGTTCAGTCTTGATTGACATACAAGTGATAGTTTAAAAACGAGATGTGCTCATTTAAAAACAAAATCATGTACTTATACCTATTTTTTTCTTTTATTGACCGCAATTCTACACACACATAATGTATCATAGTTAGATACAAAAAACTCTGGAGGACTTACGCTCAAAGAAATTTATACTCGCATCCAAACTTTACTCCAAGACATAAAAACAAAACCAACCTCCTCGCCCAGCAATAAATATTGCAAAGGGAGGCGGATAATAATAATATTTAAAAAAAATACCGTTCGCCAAAAATCACCCACTTCATCCAGCTCAACGCTCTCGAGGTTTAAAATTCCCGGAAAACTAAACCATTTCCGGCCTCGCTCCAAACAAAGGGCCGTATTCTCGGCGGAAAGGGCGGGATTAGCGGAGGGGTGCATGGGAAGAAGGTCAAAGAAGCTAGCCGAAGTAGGAAGAGTGGCAGTTGGTTTGCAGAATTGGACGTTTGGGGGCGTGGCCTCGTTTCTTCAAAGCGCCAATGGGCTTAGCCGTCTGTTTGTCTGGTTCTGTTCTGCTGATCTCTGGAAGTGCAGGAATTCTTCATGGCGATTTCACGTGGGAGACGATCGGGGAGAGAAAACGGGCTCTCCTGACTGTATTTAACGGACCTATTGAAACTGCTTACACTTAGTTAGATTGTGATTCGCAAATTATTCGTGCACTAGTAGTTCTCAACTCCGATGTGCTGTAGTAACTCCCTAGGACTTTTCAGTAAACATGGATAGACAACATTTAAATAATGAGCTAACCAAGTAGCATAACATTGAGAGGATGTTTTAAAAAAGAAAATGTTAAAGTAACAGAGGTGTTGCGCTTACTGCATTTTCCTTTACCCGAGAATTAAAATGCTTTTTTGAAGTGTTTGGCATAAAGTTGGACAGTATGTTTCTCTCACTGCGATCTAGCTTCTGCAGAAAATTCAGTGTTATTTTATTCAGCAGTGTCCCCTGTGTGTTCAATATGATTTAAAGCCATTTTCCAGCCCATTTTGTAGTAGCTTAAAAAGCAAATACTTTTGAGATGGTGTGTACTGCATTGTTAATATTCTGAGCTATGTCTCGCGAGAGCCAGTTTGGTGTAGTGGTTAAGTCATCAGGCTAGAAACCAAGAGACTGTTAGCTCCAGTCCTGCCTGAGGCACGAAGCCAGCTATGCGGCCTTGGGCCAGCCCCTCTCCCTCCGCCCTGGGAAGGAGACAATGGCAAACCACTTCTGAAAAACCTTACCAAGAAAACTGCAGGGACCGGTCCCAGGCAGTCGCCAGGAGTCAACACTGACTCGAAAACACAAAACATCCAGTGTCCATGTCTCGCTAACTGGACAATGGGTACACACTGTAACCAAATTTAAATCCCGATTAGTCCAAAACTCCATGCCATCCTCCTGCATGTTGCTTCTCCTACCCTCTGAGCAAAGTTAAAAATGTATATAAATCAAACCAATTTTACTAATGGTCATAGACCAAAATTCTGAATAAAAAACAAATCAAAATGATAAAACCAAAATACTAAATGGTAAAACGCTTAACAACCGCCTTTTAACATGGAAATAATCTATCAGAATGTAATTCTATCCAATGTTCCCTGACAACAATCATAACTGAGCAATATACTGCTACCTTTTTGAGGCTTCCAAGGATTTATTGGCTAATTATCTTCAATAGAACAGCTGGAGTGAATTTTAAGGAATGGTTATATTATTTTAGAGTGCCCTGAATGGTAGAACGGACAGCCCAGCAAAATATGTGACGCTGATTCCCTCCACCCAGGGACAGATTTGAAGAGAAGGCTACTGTACCTCCTTTTGAGAACCTGTGATGAAACTCTGGTTTCTCTTCAGGTCATGTCAAATGTTATGTTTTGCGCATTCTTGAGGGAAAAAAATGAAGGGAAAAAAAACCCAACAGAGATTGGGAAAGCTGAGATTTGCATATCTTCAAGAAAGCAGCTTCGATAAAATATATTTTAAAAGCATAATATGTTCTAACATGCTGAGGACTTTTGTTACACACCCAGATAAAGCAAGGTCATATTTTATTTATTCTAAGAGGTTTAATAGCATGCCTGTTTTTCATGTAATGATTAATCCTTTCAGAGACAACATCATTTAATTTTCTAACCCAGATGGATAAATATGGGTCAGAAGGTGGCAGCAAACTCCTTCTATTCATTTACTCCCCCAGCATTTTCCCCTGATTCGGAAGCCTTCGCGTCATTATGTAATGTGTGTTAACATTTGTATAACTGTATTTGAAAGACCTTTTGAACTCTCCCTTTCGTGTGTCCATCCCAAAACCCGTCTTAGTCTTTGGCAGGAACACAAATCTGTTATCCACCATAATAACTATAAAGTCATTTCTATGAGTGCCTGCAATCCGTGCAAATGACTTATCGTCCAACAAATGCTTAGCCCTTAGTTGTTGCATGCGATCCAGTCATTATTCTCATAATTACCATGTTGGCTGCAGAAAAAAGTTCTATTTTTAGCACTGCACTAATAAACAGATGTTTTCTCTCCAGTTATGTCTTTTAAGACTTGGTATAGTGATATCTATGACTACAACATGAAAAAAAAATCATCTTGGCCATAAAGAACATTCCAAAATCATTTAGGGCAATACCTTTACTGGGCCCATTCAAAGTTCTTGGAGATCACATTGGGCAAGATGTTATTAAAAACAGGGGTGAAATCTGCAGTCAGTATTTAAGTGGTGACTGTAAACTATATCTAGTGCAGTGATATTTTAGGTTTATATCTGAAACTGGTTGATTCTCACATTGTATAAAATCTAGGTATACTTGAACCTGGTCCATTATTAAGTACAATCCACAAGTCCCTTGGTAGGGAAATGCTCACTGTCTTCTGTTACTTGCGTATTAGGTATTTCTGCTGAATTTCTTCAGAGACTGGGTAATTCATGCTGTACTACTTCAAAACAAGCTAGCAGAACCTATACATAGTCACTGTCAAAAAGTTGTAAGAGCCAGTTGTGCTTCTATATACTTGCTTATGACACGTTTACTTGGTAATTTATTCTCTGCAGGGGCAGGGAACAATCTAGCCTGCAGCTGGCTTTGATTATTTTCTTCACAGCAATCTAACTAGTGATAATCATAGGATAATAAAGTAACAATGGAACCTTCATTGCATAAGATAGGCTGAAGAAGAGCACTGTATTGTCACAAACAAGTGAGCCTACGACAAGCCTCCAATTTTCACCTTGGATTGTTTCCTTTTAGAACTGATGAGATAAAAACATAATTCACACACTTGCATTTTGCAGCTTTTGTTTTAATGTTCTATTATCCGTGAATTGCTCAGTTCGTTACTTTTAATTGCAGTGCGTTTTGTCCAGTTTTGGGAGGGCATCCGTGCCTACTAGTGTCTACTAGAATTATAACCTCACCTTGCACTTCTAAAAGTGCTTTCTGAACTATTGAATTGTGTGAGCTCCTTCAGAGAGTGGTACATAAATACGTTAGTCCGTTGTCATCATCGATGAAGACCTCAACATCATTAAGTCTAGATATGGTGTATCTGAAGATGATGGATCAGGCCAGTTCGGGCACAGAATGTTCTTGTACATGTTGGACAGATGTGTAGGCGTTGCAGTTGTTGCATTAGTGGCTCTCGTCTTACACAGCTTGTGCTTTTGTTGTGCTTCAGCAGTGCGCCTTGCTTCATAAGCTTAAGAGCCCTTGTGGATGAGGCCCCACCAAGTCAGGTGGTTTTGTGCCAGCATTTCCCAGGTAGTTGTGTCCCTATCTAGTGACTTCAGGGAGGTCTTTATTGTGTCTTCATAACGTTTCTTCTGCCCACATTGTTAGCATCTTCCAGCAGAGATTTCCCCAAAAGGGAGTTGTTTGGGTACGTGCTCGTCCGGCATACGGATGAGGTGACCTGCCCATCGGGTCTGTGCTCTCATCAGCAGTGTGTGGGCTGATGCTCTAGAGCAGTGTTGTCCAAACTTGGCCACTTTAAGATGAGTGGACTTCAACTCCCAGAATTAAACTGGTTCACTACCTGGAGTTTCTGCCCTTTGATCGTGATTTTGGGTTCTGTGTCCGGTGCATGAGGAGCAGGCTGGTGCATGACTTTGGTCTTTGGGATGTTGATGGCAAGTCCAAAGTTGTCGCAAGCCATGGAGAATTTAGCCATACTGACTGGCATCTCTGGTTCTGAGCCAGCATTCAGGGCACAGTCATCAGCAAAGAGGAAGTCTCTCAGAACAGTTTTCTTCACTTTGCTAATAGCCTGAAGTCTCCTCAGGCTGAAGAGCTTCCCATCCACTCTGTACTTGAGGCTGATTCCAGCATCATTATCCTGGAAGGCATCATTAACATGGCAGTAATCATCATGCTGAATAGTGTGCGTGTGAGCACACAACCCTGTCTGATGCCATTAGCGACTGGAAGTGCCTTAGAGGATTCTCTGCTGTCCAGCACCCTGGCCATCATGCCATCATGGAGCTGGTGTACCATCTGAATGAATTTGGCAGGGCAGCCAAACTTCAACATGATCCTCCACAGACCTTGTCAGCAAACAGTGTTGAAGGCTTTTGTGAGGTCAACAAAGGTTATGTAAAGTTCACAATTCAGCTCCTGACACTTCTCCTGAAGTTGGTGCATGGCAAAAATCATGTCAATAGTCCCACAACTTTTGCAGAAGCTGCACTGTGACTCTGGCAGTGGGCCCAACATCAGATGAGTGACCAGACGATCTAGCAGGACTCTTGCAAGGGTTTTTTTTGGAAATGGAGAGCAGCGAGATTCCTTGGTAGTTGTTGCATACTTGTCAATTGCCCTTCCTCTTGTAGAGGTGCATGATAGATGCATGTTTAAGTTCCTGAGGAATGGATCCTTGGTTCCAGAAAGGCTGGAACAACTTGGTGAATGTCTCTATAAGTACAGGACCACTGGCTTTGTAGATCTCTGCAGGTACGACATCTGCCACTGGAGCTTTGTCACTGGATAGGCTGGTTGATAGCTTTCATGACTTCAGCTACTGCTGGAGGGTCATCCATGGCACTGTTCATGTCGACCTGGGGAATCCTGTCTATCACCTCATTGTTAATAGATGACTATCAGTTGAGGATGGCTTCAAAGTATTCTCCCCATCTCTGCAGGATCTGAGCCTTCTCTGTAATGAGAGTTGTACCATCTGTACTCAGGAGAGGGGAACTCCCAAGAGACTGAGGTCTGTAGAGAGCGTTGAGGGCTTCATAGAACTGTTTCAAGTCATTTCTGTCAGCATACCGCTGCATTTTGTCTGTCTTGGTGC